TGTTACCTAACACAATAGATAACATTGGACCGGTGATTTTCATCCTCTCCAGTGAGTCTGGCAGTGGTGAACTTTCCACGCTATACCAATGCATTGAAGCCAGGAATAGTTTGGGACAAGGCGATCGATCTCTTTAGTTTCCAGACTTCATTCTGTTTTCTACTCTTGACCAGAACCAAGAAACACCTTCTTTCAAAGCCTTCCTTAATCAGTGTTCTTGCAAGCTTCACTTGCTTTGAGCAAGACAATGCTAATGGGATTCTAGTGATGCCACCTTACCTGCTATATTTTTCACCTAGTTCAATCTGTATTAAACCTACTGAGGCTGGCTTTTAGATAAGAATTTTAATCTTCTAGGCTAGGGGATATGGCAAATGGCCGATGGATTGAACTCATCTATAATCTTGCTATTCAGCGTGGTCTATAAATCATCAATCTCAGCATCATCTGGGTGCTTGTTAGAAATGCAGAATCTTGGATTCCAACCCAGACCTACTAGAAACCCAGAATCTGAATTTTTAAGAAGACCCCCAGGTTACTATGCACATTAAAAAGAAATTCACATATGAAGTGGAATTAAGGACCAGTCAAAGAATACTTAGGCTCCTAACATGTGTCTACTATGGAGCCAGTCACTATTAGAAAGAAGCACTGATATATTTATAAGATGGAATTAGATATTGACCCCAAACTACTGCTTCCTAGAGTGTTGGAAATGGTAAGTAGAAATCTTCACAATATGTTTTTGTGATGAGACTGTGATGAAATATTTCTAACATAGTTTGTATAAGTATGGCCCGTCCATCATTACTGTCTTCTGTCTTCCTTTTTTGTTCTCTAAGTGCATGGGGAGCAATCATTTTGATAGAAACTAGGCATGAGTGTAAGGTCTAACTGGAAAGATTAAGGGGTGAGGTCCTCTGGTTTTGGAACTTGCTAAACTCTTCCCTTGTGTTAACTGATAGAGTTTTAGGCTAAGGGAGTGGCAAGTTAAGAGACTACTTCTGTGCACAGAAGATTGAATGCTTGGGTTTGGGTAATGGGAAGGTGACTCTTGGGTTTGGGTGATAGCTCTTGTTTATAAAACCCTGTCTCTCCCTAGTCCTTACAGATTTCTGGCTCTTGTGCATTATTCTAGTAACATGTATATTCAGATTTCGCATCCCTGGACTCTCACCTTAAGATAAAAACCATTAGCAAGAGTTCATCAAGACATGTTGCCTGTGCTTAGGTTTCACATAACTCTTTAGCAATCATTTTTAACTGTGTGACACAGTAGAAAGAGCAAGTACATTGGGTACAAATCCTGATTCCACCATTTTTAAGCTGTATGACCACAGATCAAGTAATTCACTCTATATGAGTCCCAGTTTCCTTAACTGTAAAATGAATATAATAATACCTTGTGGTGTTGTGACAAATGTTAAATGAGATTAGGAATGCAAATGCCAGTCAAGAATAGTTGTTATTATTGTGTGACTCGGTTGGAGTGTCATCCCATACACCAAAGGTGGTGGGTTCAATTCCTGGTCTGGGCACATACCCAGGTTTCAGGTTTGATCCCCTGTTAGGGTGCATGTTGATGTTTTTCTCTCCTCTCCCCCGCCCCCCTCCTCCTTCTCCTTCCTCTCTCTAAAATCAATCAATAAAAAAACAATAGTTGTTATTGTTAAAACTTCCTCTAGTATATGTGTGTATGTATGTCACATGCATGAGTGTTATGTTGTGTATGCACACTTCAAAATTTAATATAAATTGACTTGTAGTTTTTCTTAGATGACTCATAATTTTATTAGATGGCTCCTAATTTAAATTTCAAAGACTACTTTTTGAGTAGGACAGTCCATGTATTGGTATGACACACACACACACACACACACAGTTCTTCAGTAAAACTTCTAAGTATGGTTAGGCCTTCAGATGGTGAAGTATGTCAGAGACACTGTCTTTTTTTTTCCTTTTTGTATGACCTAACTGCAAATATTTTTTTAGAAATTTTTGAATCCTCTTCAGAAAGATGGTGGTGACTTGTAGATGTTGTAATAGAATAAATGAAATGGGGAATGAGTTACACAAAGGGAATGATCTCAGGCATGTAGTATGATGGAGAAACACAAATGATACACAAATAACCAATAAAACACTTAGGGGATGTATAAAAACACCAAAAATCTTAAAAGTATTTATTGCTTAAAGGCCATATAAGAGGATAGCATTTAAAGTACACCATTGTGAAGAAATATACCTAGACTGAATGGCCAATAGTCAAGGGTCTTAATGACTTAAAAACTTAAACATTATAATTAAGAACTACCTGATAATCAGGATCATCTTAATCTGTACAGGCCTTATAGTTTCTTGGCGAAGAAGAGCATTTCTTATCTACATTGAAAAGAGGTCACCTTTCAGTGAAACTCTTGATAAGTGTGATGCTTACTGTATGTATAAATATTTATAGAGAACTTGTTGTTAATGTCCCTGGAATGAGGAACTTAAAGACAGAATCAAAAGGAATCGAAACTCCAAGATAAGAAGAAGATTTACCTGGGCAACCCAGCATGCTCTAGTAAAGAGCAGGGACTGTCCTATTCTCCTTGTTGGAGTTGCACTGCTTGGATTCCACTTGTGAAGAGGCAGAGAGGGTAGCTATGACCATTCATGAGAAATGGCTTTACTCTGCCATCTTTGAAGAGGGAAGGCTTTGGTTTTTTTTTTCTTGGAAGCTTTGGTGCTTCATTTGTGGTCATTGGACCAAGACTTTTGTAGAGATCCATTTCAGTGTTAAAATGACTAAAATTCTGGTCAAAAGTTTGGCAGGATGCTAGTGAACTAGTCTTAAATCAGCAAATAATAGACTCTAATATTTTAAATACTTTGTTTTGCTTATCCATTGCCACATGGAAAATGATGCCCAAAACTTACTGGTTTAAAAATACAACATATTTTATTTGTTCATAATTCTATGGGTCAGAATTTCAGACTCAGAATACCGGGACTGGCTTATCTCTGCTCTGTGATGTGTGGGACTTCAGTTGGGTTGGCTCGACTGTCTGGGAACCAGCTGGAATGGCTTGATCAGAGTCAGTCTGGAGCTTCAGTATGGCTGTTGTCTGGGTTCCTCAGTTTTCCTCCATGTGGCTTCTGCAGGAGGCTGGCTTGGGCTTTCATATAGCATGGTAGTCTCAGGGTGAATGAACTTACATGGTAGCTAGCTTCTTAGCAGGAGCATTCCAAGGAAATAAGCCCCAATGTGAAAGCATTTATTAAACCTCTGCTTGTATCGTGTTTGCTGATATTCCATTGGCCAAATCAAGCCACATGGCCAAATTCGAGTCCTGGTGGTATGGATTCATTGGGCCCACCAATAACTGCTGCATACTCAGAATATACTATTATTTAGTATCCAGTTTCAATTGTGAAAGGCTAAGTTGGTGTAATGTAACTATGTTATAATATTGCTGATGTTCGTAAACGTTATTTTTGGAATTATGTTATTTTTGTCCCAAAGAAATGGTATGCTATATTATTTGAAACAATTTAAACTGTTAAAAATCCCCACGCTACATATAGTATGTTAAATAATTTAAGGCCATCTGTTAAAAAAAAAGAAAACTATCCAACCTCTAGTAATTATGTTAGGCTTACTTTTTTTTTTTTTTAATTCATGGCATTTTTACAACTTGGTTTCAATTTAAGAGCTTATACCTTAATTATTTTTGGCTTTTCAATAATTCACACATTTAGAATTATTATTTTTAATTTGCTAGCGTTTTTAAAATCATGTGATGCTTTCTTCAGTACTGATGTTTCCATATGTCAGAGATGTTACTTGTAGGTTACAAATAGATAGAAATGAGATCTGAGTTCCAGGAAGGCTTGGCTAACCTCTCTAGACTTTAGCTTCCTCATCTCTTAAATAAGAGAGTTCAATATGTTTTCTTCTAATGCTTCTATTTTTTTTTCATTTGAACTTACATGCGATGCCTAATTAATTAGTAGAGGAATATGAAATATGTATTTGGGGAATACTTATCTGTTACTTCTTTAAGGAAGAATTTACTTAGATGTTCCCATTAGTCACATTGCATTTTCTTTGGGAATCTTTAAAATATATTGATCCCTGGGTCCCAACTTTCAAACCCTTAATTTAATTGATCTATAACATGGCTTGGGCATTAGAATTTTAAAATTTCCCCAGCTGATCCTGAGGTGCAGCCAAGTTTGAGAGCCTCTATGCTAAGGAAACTTCCTTGGCTCCTTTTCTCTTATTTGTCTTTTCCCAACATAATTCGAGTCCTTGCTCCCTTTTTAGCCTTATCACCACTCCACCAGCTTACAAATGCTACATTCCTTAAATATAAATTTATGATTATTGCTAATACTAAAACGAGCTTTAATCTTTATTACTTTTATAGAACAACAGAGGAATCTAAGCTGAGTGCGAGAGGTAAATAAATTTCTTCCATTGTTTGAATCTACTTTTTAAAAATAAATCAGCATACTTACCCATTCTGTAGTACACCTCAATACAATACTCCAGATTCTGATATTTATAATTCAGATATTGGACAAGTCACTTCCCCTTTTGGGTCTTAGTTTCTATCTGTTATAAGAATTTTTTTTTTCCTCCTGAAATTCCTTTTCTAATGTTACTAGTAACTCGCTGTTAGGCCCTTAAGCTTTTAACTAATTAATTAAGTAATACTTTTTATGTGAGTTAAAATAATTTTTGGTCCTCTCTCATTCTAAATGAGGCTTTCTGGGCCTCCTTTTCTCTGTTTCCGTCCTTCTTGTTGGCAGAAGTCTGGAGAGGCTCACGAGCCACATCTTGTCCCTAAGTTGCATGGCTGCAGGGTAACAGTTCTACCCAGTGTTTGGCTGCTGCGGACATGTTCAGAGCATTAAGGTCCCCTGGGTCTTTTATGGACAATGCTCTGAGTATTCCTGGTTAAGAGGAGACCTGAGGTCTTGTCTTGCCTTATGATATAAAGGAGACATGATGCAGTTGTATGGAAGTTTTATTGGCTATAAAACAGATACACAGTGATGGACTCTGAAGATTGCAGTGGGAAAGTAGAGCTTTAAGCTCATGAACTCATACTCTGATTCAAAAGTACAGCAGTATATTAAGATCATTATGGAATGTCTGATGAGATGGTTACAGAGAAAAATGTTGTTGAGTTTGATAACTCCAAGGATACCTCTTAGGACTCACCCGTTTGTGTCTGGGCAAGGAAGGGACTCTCCATTGCAGAAAAACAGTTTTTACAACAGGCAGAAACTTTTATTAGCCTCATGCATACTTTTGGATCTCCTTCACTTGAGAATAAATTATTCTTCCATTGATGCTCTCCCGTGTGATGGTCTTGATCTTGGGCGCTACAGCTGCTGAGGAAAAGAGCAATGAAGAGGTCAGGGCCATGCTTCCCCCGCCATCTGAACTGTGCTGTTTTCAGCACCCTTTAGGCTCTCTGTGCCTTCCAAAATGATCACTACGCAATATGGCGGTCTCTGCTGGAGTGAAAAGGTTATTCTCCCCACCCTCTAAGGAATGAGGGTGTCTGGGCAGTGCCATCTTCTAGGGGTCAAGACCTTCAATCTAGGAATGCCTGATACAGAATCTAATCACTGACCACAAGCACTGGAGGAGTCCAATTGCTTATGTGGGTTTTGTAGCACGTGCACCATGACTCCGTGAGTGTATGGAGTACTAAAAGCCATTCTGGGTACCTCATTTTAAGATCTAGCAAGCTTCCCATGTGAGGGATGGCAGCAAGCCAGGGATCTTTATTTTGGTCACTGTATTCAAAAATACGATTGATTTGAATAAGTGCCGGTTGACACATCAATAAATTGATTCTAATCCGGGGGTAGGGGAAGGGGAAGAATTGAAACCATTAACAGAGATCCATGTTAAGGGAGAACTTGGTTAAAATCAAACCTCTCCAACAGTAAATTGGGCCACCCCATTCAGTATGGGGTTCCGCATCCCTGGGTTTGGGTGAGGAGAGAGGCTGAAGGACCGTCTATGGAGATCTTGCAGAGGGGTAGCAGTTTGACCACCTGTTCTGTGATGGTTACTTGAAGTCTGATTCTCTGAATCTCTAGTGCAGTGGTTCTCAACCTTCTGGCCCTTTAAATACAGTTCCTCATGTTGTGACCCAACCATAAAATTATTTTCGTTGCTACTTCATAACTGTAATGTTGCTACTGTTATGAATCATAATGTAAATATCTGATATGCAGGATGGTCTTAGGCAACCCCTGTGAAAGGGTCGTTCAACCGCCAAAGGGGTCCCGACCCACAGGTTGAGAAACGATGCTCTAGTGCCTTAGGATATTTTTACCACAAACTACTCAGAAAGTGCCACTTGTTCCAGACTGGTTTCTTAGAATTTTTCTGTGAGATGTTAAAGGCTATCTGAGAAAGTAGAGTTCCCAGGTCAAAGATGTTCACCATGCACCATGAGAAAGTAGAGTTCCCAGGTCAAAGATGTTCACCATGCTATCTGAGAAAGTAGAGTTCCCAGGGAACACTGGGTTAAACAAAATAGAACTTTTGTCATTCTTTCCCATTCTTGTTCCTTTTCTTCTCTGAAAAGTGCCTTTCCAACATTGTTTCATCTTTAATGTACCGAAACACAACATGGCTCTTCACAAAGAGGATAGGTCTTATCCAATCATAGAACACATCTTTCATAATACACAATTAAAATCTCATGGGGCACTGTTCAACAGAAGACAGTTTGGGAAATTACGTGAAACCATTTCCTTGTATTCTCTTCGGAGTGTAATAAACAGCCTCCATTAGTTAATAGAGACATAATAACATTAATGATTATTTTTATCTACTTTACCACTTGCAAAGAGCTTTCATATATATTGTTGAGGACAATATTGAGAGCTCACTTCGTATCATCTAATTTGTTAATTTAATTAAAAATTGAGTAAAATAAAAATTGAATACAGGACATTTGGTAGTACACTAAAGATGATGAATACTACAGAATGGATAAGTATGCTGATTTAGTTTTAAAAAGTAGATTCAAACAATGGAAGGAATTTATTTACCTCTCACGCTCAGCTTAGATTCCTCTGTTGTTCTATAAAAGTAATAAAGATTAAAGCTCATTTTAGTATTAGCAATAATCAAAAACCTCTTACATTGAACTGGCTTCCTTTGCCTGCTTGTAAATTTGTACCCATCTAATGAGGATGATTCTCTGAGCTAGTCCAAGGTCATGAGGTCATGGAAGAACCGTCCTGGACCCAGAGGGCAGGGAGTGCTGCCTTCCACTAACCCTGGGGGCAGAGAAGTCTCATGACCCATCCTTCTAGCCACCTGCAGGCGGCATCTTCATCAGGATCCTTTCCAGGGTCTGGGTCTGAAGCCCATTCTGGGCTTCTTGAGAAATTTATGCATTTTTAAAAAACTATAACTCCTTCTCTTGGATTATAAAATGTCTGTGCCCTTTCTGTGGACAACTACTTCCCAAGGTAGTCAGAAATAACAGACTGAAAATCTAGGTACCTTACTCTCTTATGAATCTCTTCCTGCTGTTAGGCTAAAATATTCCCCTAATCTCCCTTTTTTTTGGAGCCCGAATTGTGTGTATCCTCACTGGGAAACACTAGAGCTATACCTTCTTGTTTCTTTCTAGAGATTTTAATAATTTAAACGGTTGACCTCAAATCCCAGTGTCCTGGGAGTAATCCCTGATTAATTCACACGTTAAGCGCCCAGCCTGTTTTGTCTTCCAGACTAAAAGTATAGTGTCAGTCACTGGTGACTGCCATGGCACTTAACATGTTAAAACTTTCTGCTTAACGAAATACAATCTGATCTAAGTGTCTTCAGGAGAAATTCAACATACACCTTTTTGCTCTCGAGTGACGATTGCTAACAGAACCGTAGGGTACACGAATGTACAAATGCTAGCTGGGTGCCCTTTGCGCCCTCCCCTGCCAGCCTTTGCCTCACCCTTGGCTCTCCCCCTCCAGTAGCTGGCGGTAGGTGGAGATTTCCTTCTCGAGGTGGGTTTTGATGCCCAGGAGGACCTTGTATTCGCTGTTCTGCCGCTCCAGGTCATGGCGCAGCTGCAGCAGTTCCTCCTCGTAGTGGGAGATGACGCGTTGCATGTCCTGGAGCTGGCAGGAGTACCGAGACTGGGTCTCCGATAACATGTTTTCCAATGCAGATTTCTGAAAGAGGAAATGATGTTTCTGACATTAATTGGCTGACGGCTTGATTGATTCAATAATGTGTGCTTGCTGAGTAGTTAGAATCCGCCGACCACTCTGCGAGGTGTCTTGGTGGCTGCTGGGAATGCAAAGAGGGGAAGCAGGCTGACTCATAGGTTGGGGATGTGGGCAGCCAGGAGTTGAGCAGTGTCTGGACTTTTGAAGCCCATCTTCTTGGCATAAAACCTTTGTGTCGGGGTTCTCTTGGCAGCTCTGCCGCACGTCTGTGGCATTTGTTGTTTCTGCTGCTCATTTGGGATGGGGCACAAGGTGCCTGCCCTGATCTGTTCCTTACCTCCTTACGCTGACATTACCCGACTCAGGATTTTCCTAGCTTAGACTCACCCTGTTGCGCTGCGCCTGCAGGTCAATCTCCAGGGCCTGGAAAGTGCGCTTCAGCTCATGGATGTTGCCCTGGTTGCTCTGCACAGCTGTTGGACCGGCGGTCTCCTGGGCAATGGCTGCTGACTGTGACCAAGCAAAGAGCAGAGGCATTGGCATTGGACCACATGGAAATGGAACCTTCGGGAAGTTTGGACACTTTTATTTTACCTGCTCTTTATACCAAGCATCCAAGTCTCGATGCTTCTTCTTTATCATAAACTCGTATTCTTGCCTCATGTCCTCCAGGATCTTAATCAGATCTTCCCCTGGGGTGGTATTCAGCTTCACATTGACCTTGAAGTCATTTGGTACATGCTGTCCCTCCATTTCCTGTTTAATAACAGAGAAAGAAAATGAATGGGCTGTGAGCATCCGAAGGAAGTGTGTTGATTGGCAGCAGTGAATGGATCTTTTAAAAATTTCAGCTCATGTGGTGGCTACTCTTTCACTGGTTTGGTTTGGCTTCTCAGTTATTAGTTATCGATGACAAAACATTATATGAATTTTCCCTCTTATACTTTTGTAAAATAAAGAATAGCACCAGACAGGTAACTGTATGGCCTCTATGATTACTGACTTAATCCCTGGTTAAAAATGTTTCAGCAAGAATTACGCTTCCATAGTGTGTAAAGTACTCTTCAGCAAATGTTTATGGGTGAAGTGATGACACAGCTAAGCAGGTGAACATTTCAGGATGTAGACCAAAGCTTTTGGGAAGCAGTTCAGTAATCCAAAGCCAAAAGTATAGAGGCTTTTAAAATCTCATCAGTGCCTTAGGATTTTGTAGGGCTGACACCCATTGGATATCATGAAAACCAAGGAACCACAGGAAAGGTTTAACAATCATTGTCTAACTAGCTTTGATGTTCATAAACAATTTTGTTTGCCTAAAATAGGGATTGTTTTTCTATCATTTTATCAATATCTCAGGGACTTTAGATGGATGGTAACTTTTCAAAAGTTGGTTAAATGTTTCTGGAAATTAGGATTCTTAATTTTTGCTACGAGTCATATATAGCTTGGTTAGTAGCAGATTCTCTTTATTCTGTTGGCCCTCAATTTGCTGCACATTGGGTCAATAAAGGAGGTTAAGTCTCACACATTTATCCTACAATATTTTTAAAATGTTTTTATTGATTTTAGAGAAAGTGGAAGGGAGAGGGAGAGAGATAGAAGTATCAATGAGAGAGAAACATCTACCAGCTGCTGCCTCCTGCACAACCTGTACTGGGGATTGAACTGGTAACCAGGGCATGTGCCCTGACCAGGAATCGAACCGGCGACCTTTTGGTGCATAGGTTGATGCTCAACCACTGGGCAGTACTTTATAACAATCAAACCTAGGTAAACATTGCATATTAAAATTGTTGACCCATCTGTTGTTAATTGTGATTGTATTTTGGCTGTTGTATTTGACATCTGAGTAGATAACCTTGGAATTGGAAAAGTTAGATGTTTATATGGTTCCTGATGATTATTTAGGTTCAAGGACAATAGAACTGGCATAGAGGTAGTAGTTTCTTCTGTAGCTATTGGATCACCTAAGATGTGCCCATTAAGAGCCGAGCTGGTGGTTGCTGGGGAGTCCTACCTGCTCATGGCGCTTCTTCATGAGGATGAGCTCTTTCCTCAACCCCTCAACCTCCTGTTCCAGGTCTGTGGTGACAATGGTTAGATCATCCAAGGTCTTTCGGAGACTCTCCACTCCAATTTCCAAGTCTTTCTTGAAGGAGTGTTCATTTTCATACCTTTGGGTAGAAGGAAGAAAAGAGTGCACCTGTTGTTGGAAGGCTGCAGTCTTTGTAAGGATTCACCTTCGTTTAGAGATGATGCTCATACTTTTTAGGTTTAATGGAAAAACAATTAATACAGACTATTTATTCTTTATATGTGTGTTTCATGCATATTTTTCTATAATGGTGACTCAATGTTATTTTTAAAAATAGAATAACATAGTGAACAGCCATGTGCCCATCACCTGCATTTAGCAATCATTAACAGTTTGCCATATTTGCTTCATCTGTATTTCATTTTGTATTTTAATGTAAATTTTAGACATAACATTTCATCCCTAAATGCTTCTGAATGCATCTTTTAAGAAAAATACATCTTTCTAAATAAGGATAATAACATTATCTCACCTAAAACATTAAAAACTCCCTTTTTTAAACACCCCCATCTTACAGGTTTATTGCAAAGATTTATTTTTTTTAAAAAAATCCTCACCCAACAATATTTTTTCATTGATTTTTAGGGAGAATGGAAGAGAGAAGGAAAGACAGAGAAAAATAGTGATGTGAGAGAAACTCATAGATTGGTTGCCTCCTGCAGGTGCCCTGACCAGGGCTGAGCAGGGGAGGAGCCTACAACCTTGGTACATGCCCTTGACCGGTATCGAACCCGTGACCCTTCGGTCCTCAGGCCAATGTTGTATCCACTGAACCAAACCAGCTAGGGCAAAAAACAACTCTTTAATGTCATCTAATTCTTGGTTCTTATTCAAATTTCCTCACAACAAAAAGTGTGTTTTATTATCTGATTTATTTAAATTAGGGTCCAGCCAAGTATTTATTCTTGTTTGCCTTTTAATTATATTCCAGTAAGATTTTTACATGTAGCTAATGGTGAGATAAGTTTTCTCTGGAAAGCAAAAACAAGAACAAGAATAACCCACAAAACAAAACAAAGAAAAACACCAAATAATACCCTCCCCCCCACAACACTGAGGAAGGAACTTACTTGAGGTTGAAGTCATCCACTGCCATCCTGGCGTTGTCAAGGAGAAGAAACACCTGAGCATTGGTCAGCTTGCCGTCCACTATCTGTAAGAGATGCACCAAGAGTCATTTCCGCGGGACACACGACACAGGAAAGCTGCATTTCTGTTCTCTAGTCTCCTGGTTATATGACTTGTTAGAACAGATGACTTGTTTCCTGGCAGTGGAGCAATCACATCGATACATATTTATTGAGAACTTACTAGGTACAAAGCATAAAGTGATTTTATAGTAAGGATATGGTCTGCATTGTCTTTTTTTTACATGGAGTTTTGACAAATGCCAAAAGGAAGAGGAAAGAGTGTAATTATTCAAAATGCCTTCTAACTTTCTAGTACTATAAACATATCTTACTGTTTTGCTCAAGTGCCCCCACATTGAAGATGTTAAAAGTGGTTTAGATTCTGATCCTTTTCTTACTGTGAATATTAGTTTGGCTCCTCTAAAGTAAAATAATTATTTTAAATGAACATAATTCTTCCTCATGATAGCATTCATATTTCTGATCTGTAACTACTGAGCAAAGTATCTCTTGATACAAAATGTCAACTGGTATTAGTTTTTGAAACGAATTTTAAATGTATCTTATTATGGTCATCACATACCATAAGTAATTTTTGTCCAAAGTAACTATAGTCATGTACATAACATGTAGGTATGTGTTTGTCAATTATTCCATGACGAGAATGCCCCAATTATAGCTATTACTAGTAAAATATTAAATTAAATTATTCTTTACCAGCTTAGTAAACTTTGTGTTAAAGCCTCCCGTCAAACACTTTCACTAGATGTTTATATACTATTTCACTTTAAAAGGAGAAATGTCATTGAAAGTATCTACTTGAGCAATTGTGTATACATATAGGGTTTGTAAACACTTCTAGGAAGTTTTAATCAGAGAACTAGTCTACATTTGCTGTATGTCTCTGTCTTCAGGAAAATTGGGTGGAAGATGTCTCAGTGTCAAAAGTATAATCCTACTTTGTGCCAAATATTGTGCTGAACTAGGAACTGGGAGGTTTTCCTTTTCCTTCCTGTTACTGACATCGGTGTGAACTCGGGCCAGTCACTCCATTCCTTGGGCTTCAGTTCCATCACTTGTTAGATAAGGAATTTATACTAAAAACAGGTAACCTTAGAGGTCATAGCTCTAAACTTCTGTAATTTATTTGGGACCAGACAATCTTGTGACATTCCATTATATTTATACAAATAATTCCTTTCTTAAGAAAGGATTTTCGTAGGACAAAGTTATACTTGAAAACAAAGGCCCCTTTAAAAAATCTGGTCCTAGTCAAAGCTTCACTGGTTAGATGGAATTTAGTATTATGAATGCACAATAGCAGGATTCAGAGGTGGTGACCACAGTGGGCCTGAACGCCACCAGCTGAGTGAGCTTGCCACGTGTCCGTTTCTTCATTCATAAAATGACAATGAGGTTATGAGAATTAGATTAAAAGAGAGAAAATAATGTTGTAAAATCCTTAGCCTTTTCTGGGCATACTATAGACACTGTGAAAAATTAGTTCAAAATTTTCTTCTTTAAAATATAACACTTTTGTAATTAGAGCCAATGTCTGCATTGGATCAATCTCAGGATTTACATGTTGAGATGTACCCTCAAACTCTGTTTGTGGTAAGAGATGGCCAGGTTGGCTTCCCCTGTCCACCTTCATTCTTCCCTTGGTGGATGGATTCCAAATGGTACTCTGACTGCTTCCTTTGCGCTACAAAAAGATTCTGTAGGTATTTCCTTGTCTTCCCTCTACAGTGTTTCTTAGGGACTTTCTTACCAAATTCCCCCCCCCCGACTTTTCATTCTTTGCATTATTTAAGCTCATAGGAAATAGAAAGTAGCTCCATCCAAAAAGGCCTGGGGACCCCTGGGATTAGCCTTAGTTGTGCACTGAGGTATTGATTGACATGTAGAGAAACCATTCCCTATAGACTCCACAGAATAAAAAATACCATCTTTAGTGAGTTAAACTGATAATTTATCAATTGCAAATCCCCATCAAGACTCAGATTCTCCCAGCCAGCATCCTCATAGTGCAGGAGTGGTGAGCTCTGAAATGCACTTGATATAGAGCACATTTAAAAATGGAAACTGTTTCCCACTCTTTGGGTTGCCTGATACAATATTATGACACAGCCACTATTTCTGAGACATCCTTTGCAATAATGAATGGATGAGGATGGATTGAGAAATAATATATGAGGCATAGGTTTGGCATTGTGTGTTATAATTAATCACCTGGATTCTCCCCAAAGCCCTGGGTTAATTCTTTTAAAATAATCTAGTTGGTGTATTAGTAGTACAGCATCATTGCTCCAGGGTGTGTAATCTCCTACCAGGGAGAGGAATGTAGAATATTTTATCGTAATCCAAAGCACCAAGTAGAGTTCTATTATGAGCTATTCCAATATCTCTCTATGTCCAACTCTGTGTTTCAAAGGAAGTGAATAACATTTAATATCCCTAAAGTGGGGGTGAGAGAGTGATATATCTACTCAGCACATTTCATCAAGGCCCAGGAAGGGGTCAGCCCAGGGTACCAGTACTTGTGGAACCTGTCTGGTCTCTGTTTTCTCAGCTGCAAACAGGAGAGAGTGGGATAGACAGACAACCTCAGCTTCAAAGAGTTGTTTTCTTCCAACATGGAGAAGATGTGACACTGAAGTAAGAAACCCAGAAAGGAGTGTAATTCAAAGCCAAAGAAACTCCTATTTAATGTCAGAACTTAGATTCCAGGGACACCTGAACAGTGGGCAAGCTGCCCCCTCCTTGTCATTGGTCCCACTCACTTTTCTCAGTTCTGCTCTCATGAATTTAGGCAGCCACTTGGTCTCAGTCTGCTCATCTGTGTAATGGGGATAAAAATACCTGCTTCCCGGAATGAAATGATGCGTATGAAATATGTGTTGCATAATTAACAATGCAAATACAATGCAATATCTTTATTCATGAGCAGTATCATTGTTGTGTGAGGTAGGCCAGTCAGCACCGTACTGTGTGGAAATTGAGGCCATTGGAAGCAGACTTGGGTTAGAATCCCATCTCTGGCTCTTTCCAGTGCCTTTGGATTGCTATTTCACTCTTCTGAGCTTCGGTTCTTTCCAGGATTGTTGTGAGAATTAAATCAGGTGCTATAGGACGTTTCCATCATTGCAGAAAACTCTCGGATGGCGCTGATAAGTGTATTAAATACCCAACATGATGCCTGGCATATAGTAAGTGCTCAACAAATGTTTCCCTCCTTTCTCTCCCTTTTCCTCCTCTCTGCTGTCAGCTAATACATTATTTGACCAGGTCTAACCTTACATTTCTTTTGGGAGTTATATTCTCAGCTGTCTATTTGCAAAAATCTTTTATTCTCTCCATTCTAAAACCAAAGCAACTTTATTAATGAAAAAAATATGGTGAGGTTTGTTGAGTCACCTTGTTTTTTTTTTAATGTAAAGACAACCATGTACTATATAGTTAAGGTAATTACACAGTCAGTTATTAGGTTGCTTATTCAATAATTAGGGTTTATTATGAGGACAGATTTATATTATCTTGGTTGGTCCTTCCTACATTCACGCAAGGATGACTGAGTGTTGAGAAATAACATCATATGCATATTGGAAACCTGTGGTGCCCTTTTCAGGGGAGGTTAAATCATGATCCTGCAGGACATTTTTTGGGACTGCTTTACATAGAGGGGAGTTATGTAGCTAAAAAATAACCTATGAGATGACTGGATTCCTTTTACTCTAGCCAATGTTATAAGGTCCTCCAGAAGGTATAAGCTTAACTTTTAAAATACTTGGTTGAAAAGTTATTTATTTTTTGAAGAAGTCTCCATAATCCATCCTAACTCTAAGATTCCAAAATTATGCTCTTTTCATTATTTTTTTTCTAGCAATATGCCATTTTTGGAACTACTAGCATCTAGAAACTCAGAACTCCTAGTAGCCGCCAAGAAGTATCCAGGGATGTCACAATTATGTGTTTGCCTGTGGAGTGACACCTTTTAGATGTGATCTCCAAAATAGTATAACTCAGCCTCTCTTTGCCAGATAATCACACTGTTGCCACTTGAGGTGGAGCAGAACTGATGAGAAAGCAAAGGCTGACTCGTGCCTCGTGCACTGAACACGAGGAACGCAGTCCAGCCTTTGTCATTATTATTACATCGCTGGGCCACAGGGACACTGGACAGCAGCTGGTTGCCTTAGACTCTTTAGATTTTCCCCACATAATTTATGTACAGGTTTAAATAAATACAACAGACTTTCCAAAGTCCAAATGCAAGGTAAAATAATAAGAAAATATCCTCGAATACCTTTGTTCACAATTACTTTAAGCTCTTTTGCCATTTTCCTGGCAGTCCTCTTCTCTACTGATTTCTCCTCCCAGGGGTTTCCTGGAAACGCACCACCCACCCTGACTTCCAGGGCCACCCAGGATCTTACCTGCTCCTGCAGGCGGCTGATGTTCTCCTCATACTGGGAATAATCTTGCTTGCTGCCAGGGTCTCTCTCCTGGTGCCACTTCAGGATGCGGCTCTCGAGCTTGACGTTGGCCTCCTCCAGAGCATGCACCTTGTCCAGGTAGGAGGCCAGGCGCTCATTGAGGTTCTGCATCGTCACCTTCCCATTCCCACCTAGGAGGGAGCTGCCTCTTCCAGACCCCCAAGACCTTCCCGGGGGCAGGCAGCTTGGGGAGGTGAAGGAAAGGGAAATGCGGATGCCCCCCGCACCCCCGTGGACGCTGGGAGCCCGGGGGAAGCCCCCCGGCCGGCCCCAGCCACCTCTGGTGCCAGGGAGGGAGCCAGAGGGGATCTGGCTGAAGCTGTGGCTGGAGCTCATGGTCCCATTTGTGTGTGGGGCGGGGCTGGGCTCTGCTCTGCTCCCTGGCACCGCAGAACTGAGCCGCCCCAGACTGCCCTGGATGGTTTTATGCCCTTTGCTGTGGGAGTTCCCTCCTCTGACAACTGTACCAACAAGATCGTATCATTGTGCAACATGCGTTTCCTCTTGGTCAATCCCGAGGCGCCCCAGGCCTCCACACACACTGTTGTTGTTTAGAGCCACATCGATATACCAGTTTGTTTCTCCCTTCCAGTTGTCACCCGGAGGAGTGGCCACCACATTAGGTGGATGTTTGTCTCAGGTGTCTTTTTAATCTTTCCGTGGAATTTTCCCATTGTTCATTTATCTGAAAAGGGTCAGTTTAAAGTCCACAAAAGGGTTATTGGGTGTAGCCTAGATTTTTCTTTTAAAAAGTAGACATTAAACACACAGACACCTCTCGGCCCCCAGCTCTGAAGCAAGGGGGGCAGAGACTGTTCAGGTCAGAACAGAATCTCAGAGGGAAAATACTCGTGCTGAGGAAATGGAGAGTGCCCTGAGCATCGGATGCCTTTGTGGCAGTCAGTGTTTGATGGAAAGTAATTTCAAAGGAATCATCCTGAAGAACAAACCTTCTATTATAAGTAATTAATAAATGACCGAGCCTTCCACTTTCAAGGTGCCTTTCATCCCGAGCACACCTCAAAACCAAACAACCCTGACCTGCGCTCAGGACTTCCTTGGCTCCCTTGTCCCGTGCCGGCTGAGCCCCAGAAAGGCTGGTTCTGTGTGTCTGTGACCCGCAGAGGGGGTGGGGGGTGCGGGGCAGGAAATATGCCATGGCTTGGCGAACATGCTCGATGAATCGTACGCTTCGTCTGCCAAGGTAAAGGTTAGAAATGAATAAAGAAATAGTCTGGGGGCGGGGAGCCACGTGCTGATTACTGGCAATTAGATTGAAAGAGGACTTAGAAATAAAATGGCAGCTGCGGAAGGGACTTTCATTCCTTGGTTCAAGCCACTAATTTTACAGATGAGGGAAGCTGAGGTCTTTGGGGGGATATGTCAGAAAACAGATGGTGGGTGAGTGGCAAAGCCAGGGCGGATTCTTCCTGCCACATGGCACTGTTATCATTGAGTGGAATCTTGACAGAATCCTATACAATACTTCTCTTTCATAAGGGTGATAATCGGACTTCCCAGTTTACATAGCCCTTTGATATTCTTTTTTTTTTTTGGTTTGTTTTGTTAATCCTCACCTGAGGATATTTTTTTCCATTGATATTTAGAGAGAGTGTGAAGGAGGTCAGGAGGGAAGAGAGAGGAGAGAGAGAGAGAGAGAGAGAGAGAGAGAGAGAGAGACAGACATATCATGTGTGAGAGAGACACATCCATTGGTTGCCTCCTGCATGCTCCCTGACTGGGGCCTGGGGATCAAACCTGCAACTCAGGTACATGCCCTTGCCCTGGAATCCAACCTGCTACCCTTCAGTCAGCAGGCCGGCACTCTAACCATTGAGCAAACTGGCTAGGGCTAGAAAATTTTTTTATAAGATTTTATTTGAGCCAAACTGATGATACATGCCGGGGAGCAAGATCTCAGATGCTCCGCACTGACCACGCTGTGCTGCATTTATTACCCCCCTCTGGGTCTGCAGGCTGCATGAAAGCAGGGATTATGTCTCCCATCTTTCAAGCACCAAAGTCCGGCTTCTTGTAGGCATTTCATAACCGTGTGTTAACTCAGTATTGAACTTTTTAGAGTCATGACTTTTTTCCTTTTTATTGAAGTTATTGGGGTGACACTGATTAACACAGTTCTCCAGGTTTCAGGTGCACAATTCTGCAACACATCGTCTGTACACTGTATTGTGTGTTCACCACCCCAAGTCAAGTCTCCTTCCATCACCATTTATCCAGCCTATACCCTTCTCCACTTCGCTTCCTCCCCTCTTCCTCCATAGAATCATGATTTTAACTCAGGTTCTCCAACACCATCACCTCCTGCCCTTTTGAGGAGCGTGAGCTGTAAAACCAGAGAGTAGAAAAAGCCTCTCCCAGGGGGGAACTAGCCAACCACACAGGCAAAATCATCCCTCATTCCAAATAATATCACTAAAGCACACCCAGCTCTGCTTGTCTGCTCTGGCAGCAAAACCTTGCTCAAGTCCTTGGACTTGCCTCATCTCACTATGTGCCAGATGGAAGAATTTGATCAAGACTAAAGGAAGCCTTGGGGATGCTTGGAAGGGGTGCCCTTTTAAAGTGCTCCACAGTCACATCTATGAGCAGGAGGGAAAAAGGGAGGCAAGAGAAAAAAGAGCAAATGAGAGAAACAGACTTACTTAGATGTGTGGTTTTGAGCAGGTGCTGATGGACGTGGATGGGGGCTGACTCAGGGCAGGATCGGATTGTGTTCACAGTGATCCAGCCACATACGGGAGAACATCCATCTGGAGGATGTGCCAGGGCCAGGCTGCACTCTGTTTCACATTTGGTTCATCTTTCTGGTGAACTGAGATGCTGTCATTAACAGGGAAGTAATATTTTGCAGGAGAGGTTGGTTGGGGATTGAACGAATGGGTTGCTTGTGGGTGTATCAGGGATCAGAAAGGAGGCCTGTTAACACTTAGCTGTCATTAGCTGGGAGCACAGTGTGTTTGTGCCTTTAAAGACAATTGTCCCATCCCGGAAGCATCCCATGGGCACCCTCTTGTTTATAGTGAGAGAACAATGGCCAGACAATCCTCAAATAGATTTTACTATGCATGAAATTTCAGAGCAGATGAGTAATAGGTCTCCAGGCAAAATTGCTATATCATTATCCTATGATTTGGAGGGTTGTATAAAAAGATTAGACATTTATAGAAATAAAACACAGCTTCTGCAGTGATACCAGGTCAGACATTTCATAAATGCCTAAGTTTATCATACTGTAGCCAAATAACAATAAAATTGTCTCATATTTTGGTCTTTCCAAGAAAAGGGAGCCAATATATATAGATGGCTCAAGTTAAGAAGTATTCAATATAGTATTTTAGAGTAGGAGGGGAAGACAAGTCAACTTAAAGTTGCTTCCAAATAGTATTTGTATTTATTTACTGACATACAAGGAAAAATAATGAAACACACACATAGGCAAAAAGACTCTTAAGATCACAGACGGTCCATCCATGTTGTTGCAAAGGGTGAAATTTTCTTCCTTTTTATGGCCAACTAGTATTCCAGTGCGTAAATGTACCATAGCTGTTTCATACACTGCTCAAGCTGATGGACACTTGGGCTGCTTCCAAATCTTGGCTATTATAAATAACACTTCTGTGAACATGGAGGTGCATATATCTTTTTCAAATTTGTGTTTTGGGTTTCTTCAGATAAATTCCCAAAAGTGGAATTGTGGGTCATAAGGCAGTTCCATTTTTAATTTTGTTTTAGGAAACATTATACTGTTTCCTACAGTGTATTCACCAATCCTCATTCCCACCAACAGTGTACAGGGTTCCCTCTTCTCCACATCCTCGCCAGCACTTGTTGTTTATTGATTTATTGATGATAGCCATTCTGACAGGTATGAGATGATATCTCACTGTGGTTTTAATTTGCACTTCTCTGATGATTAGTGAAGTTGAACATCTTTTCATATGTCTATTGGCCATCTGTATGTCCTCCTGGAGGGACCTGGAGAGCATTATGCTAAGTGAAATAGCCAGTCATAGAAAGAGAAGTACCATATGATTTCACGCATATGTGGAATTTAATGAACAAACTGAACTAAGCAAAATAGAGACAGACTGATAGATGGAGAGCAGACAGATAGCTCTGGTGTAGGGGTGGTGTTAGGGGAGGTGGAGGAATTGAGCACACAAAAAAAAGACAGAACTCATGGACACAGACAACAGCGCAGTTATTGTGGAGGGGAGGTGGTGGGTGGGAGTGGAAGAGGTTATAAGGGATAAATGGTGATGGAAAAAATAAAATAAAGAAAAAAAGGTATTTTAACTTTAAAAAAGATCACAGAAGTTCTCTCAAAGGGTAGATAATGAGACGGCGTATTGGAAGCTCTTCTTAATCTGATTTAAAAAATATTTTCTTAAAGTTATTGGGGTGACATTGGTTAATAAGATTGTATAGGTTTTCACTGTATAGCTCTATAATACATCATCTGTATATTATAGTACATTGTGTGTTCACCTCCCAAAGTTAAGCTCCTATGTCATCATGTATCTGACCCTCTTTACTCTCTTCTACCTCTCCACCACCCCCTCTCCCTTTGGTAACCACCCTACTGTTGTCTGTGTCTCTGAAAAAAGTGAAATCTTATGATTCTTGATGATTGGATAGAGAAGATGTGGTACAAATATACAATGGAATACTACTCAGTGATAAGAAAAGATGAAATACTGCCATTTGTGACAGGGATAGATCTTGAGAATATCATGCTAAATGAAATAAGTCAGACAGAAAAAGTAAAGTTAATCTGATTTTTAAAAGCAGTTAAGAATTAAGTAAGGATGCAGAGGTAGATGGAGCCTGGTAAGTGATGACAAACGAATAGCATTCAGGCCTTAAGAGTTAGGAAATTTGAAGAAGAGGATATATCAGGATAAAGAAAGAGAAAGTAAATTTCAGTTAAATAAGATCTGTGTTGACAGAAATCCAAGGTGGTAAATGTTTATTAAGATCCTAATCTGTTTATTAAGAACCTCATCCAGGAAACATATTTCTGAGCTATTTGGAACATACAAAAAGTGAGAGACACCTTTGCTGCACAGGCTGCACATCAAGCAACGTTATCCTAGCCTTTAATTGTAAGGAAGCTGAAAGGCCAGGCTATGGCCGGCTTATCTTTAATTCCTCAGCTACTTCCAGTTCATAGAGTGCCGTGGCAGGCCCTCCATCAGTTTTATTAACTTTGGTCTTAGGAAGAATATACAGCACTAGTGGATTGTGTGAAAAAGACCGAGTGAGATAGAAATGAGATGAAAAAGCATTGCAAATAATGTCACTAAAGCACACCCAGCTCTGCTTCCCCACATTATTGTGGGGAAGTGCAGTTAAAAATGAAGAGGTCTTAGTTAATAGAGT